GTGTGTGTGTGTGTGTGTGTGTGTGTGTGTGTGTGTGTTGCCTTACGTTGTTTTGCATGTGTGTAACTTTAGAGCAGCCCTGCACTACAAACGCCAAACATGAGGCTTATAAGTGAGTGTGTGTGCTGTGGTCGTGTCGTGTAGTGAAAACAGTGACCTGGCTGCTGGTAAAGTGCAGAGAGGTGCTTGTGAGGTAAATGTCTCTGTGTGAGCTTCTAAATCGAGATGAACAACAGTGACTAATCTCCTCACCTCAGACTCCAACACGTATGCCTGTCTACTGAGAAATAGAGGCTGTAAGAAGAAGGTCACCTCTCCATCTCTCTAAAAAAAAAAACACACACACACACACACACACACACACACACACACACACACACACACACACACACACTGTGTTAACGCTTTCTCTTTCACCGTCAGCCTCCCATTGTTTATAAAGCCACACTCAGAGGTTATCACAGTTGTGTTCTACTTATTTGGAGTAATTTCCTGTTACACGCAAAACTGAGCACAGTGTGACCCTCTTTTAATTTTTGGATCCATGAAACATTACGTTTTATGTGTAAAGGTAACCACAAGGAATGCAGAATTAATTGTTTTACACCAGGGAATGCATCTTTTCAGTCTCTTTTTCAACAAGTGCTGTATTGTGCAGTTTTTCAAGCTAAAATGGGTTAAAGAAGCTAAAATGTAGTCACTGCTGGGTAGTGAAGTCATAAAAATATTGTTTGACAGAAGCAGGCACAGGTAAGTCTCATGAATTAATGTAAATGAAGTGCTGCTTCATGTGGACAGAGAGACCAATTTCCTCTCATGAATCCTCCGGCTTTAAAAAAATGCTTTATATTTGCATTGAGACTGAGTTAATCTATTATCCCTCCCATCTCGAGCTCTACTGGCTAATCCACTGAGCACTAAGCAGCTTTTACTGAGAGATTGTGGCAGGTCAGTCTGTCAGTTTTAGCTTGCTTTCATACTAGTTTACTTCTTACTTTTATTTGCTGTGGCAAGTTCAGTAGGTTATTAATCCAACAGAATATGGTATACATGCAACATGATTTAAGGCATAAGCTAAAATAGCAGTTACTGTCTTCTTGCATTAGCAGGAGGCAGAAAGAGCTTTCTGACAGTATTGTTTCTACTGCGTGTGGTAGATTTGGTGTGTGTGTCTGTGTGTCTGTAAGCTTTTGAAGCAGTATGCGGTGGCTGCAATGAAGAAAAGCTGGCATGCTAACATTCTCAGAACTGAGGTTTTCACTGCAGCGTTTCCTGCTGCAGACAACGGACACTCTGCAGATGTTACTTATTAATGTTAATAATTTAGCGTCCAGCCTAGCAGCACCAGATCAGTGGCGTTTTACTGGCCTTCAGGGGGAAAAAGTCTCTTTATCTTTATAATTATTTTATATCTATAATAGTCTAAATCTGCAAAATAATGTGACTGAAGCCTTGAAATAAACACGATTCAGTACACATGCATGGGGTGGTTGGCTCACAGCAATAGAAAGTGGGACGGCTGCTGCAACACATTCTATCAGACTAGTTAACAGTTCATGCTTCTTTTTTTCTTTTTTCTGTAGCTCTACTGTAAGTTTATTTAAGGGCAGCTTTTTCCCACTAAAGGTTTTTATGGTGGTTACAAGAACAAGCACTGCTGTTTCACATGCTAGGAAAACGGGTTTGTCTCCACTTCACCTGAGCTCGCTCAATAACGGCTCTTCTTACAATAGAAGCTTTAGCTGACTGTCGTTTTGCACTGTGTCATTGCGTTTGTCGTCGTCTTATTGACTCCCTGCTTTGTCCGTGTGAATGCAGGTGTCTCCTCTGCTACCTTGTTGCACTCCAAGTCCCTGCGAGGCCACAGAGACTGCTTTGAGAAATGTCATCTCATCGCCAACCAGAAGCTGTCACGATCCAAGGTCTCCCGGAGTGCCTACGAGGGCATGAAGCTGGCCCTCAGCCAGAAACTGAACCGCATCATTCAGTACGCCCAGAACAAAGACTCTGTCTCCTCCAGTGGCCCGAACAGACGGGGGGCTAAGCTTCTGTGTTACGGCCAGCAAAATGACCGCAAGCTGCTCCCCCAGTCAGACGCCCAGGTGCCCCGCTACACGCCCTGCTGGGACACGGGCAAATCAACAGGGCCGGCTGACTACACGATGGGTATGCTGGAGCGCCACACAGCCGAGGAGCTAGGACTGCTGCAGGAGTCGCATTCTGACGTTTGGTCCAACGACAGCAGGAGAGGTCTTCACAGCCGGAAGCCATCAGGAGGACAGCAGCACCAGGGTCACAGCAGAGAAGAGTGTAAGCACATTTCTTCTTTGCACAAACAAACTTTAGCAGACTTTGGTTTTATCAAATTGGAGTTGAAGCAGTGGAACGTTTATGCTTTTCTTCTTCTTCTTCTTTTAAAAAAGAAAAATACATCTGTCAGCAGACAAGGAAAGCTGCTCTCGCCTCTCACATTATTCAGTTTTATCTTCAAAAACCTCAGCGTGTACAACAGCAGAACGTTTTTACTGTCCTTCATCTTCCTCTTAGCTGTGATCTCTCCAGAGAGGTTAATTTTCCTCTAACCTCGAGATAGGCTGTGTCCTTGGCTGCTTCACGTCTCATCTCCAGTAAAGCTGTTTATAACTACAGATCCTGCAGGATGTGACTGAGCCTGTTAGAGGCCAGCAGTTTTCAAATTCTCTGCTTATAAGTGAAAGATGACAGGCAGTTCACAGGTACACTGTTTAAACTGTGGATATTTCCGCAGGAGAACAGCATCACCCTCTGACACTTGAGATGGCACAGACCTTTGCAGTTATTTAAACAGAGCAAATGAAGTTTTAGTGCGTATTATTTACAATTTCTGACATCGACAAGTAGCACAAGTTTGCAGCATGTTTAAAGTCTATTCTTATTGGCAGCTAAATGACATCCACTGTGCTCACACACCATTAAAAGTGATCTCTTTTCTTTTAGTGACTGAAATGAGTGTGGATGAGCTCCATCAGCTAAATGCCCAGCTACTCCTGCAGATTCAGAGTAAGTGGTTTTTACTGATATCCTGATTGAACAGTTCCTTTCACAGAAGGCTCAGCAGTCATAGTCATCTATATTTTAAGCATTTTTAAAAACCTGTGCTTCAGTGTGAAATCCTCCTCTCTGATAAATCCCCACATGAGATTTTTGGTGCCCTCAGGAAAAAAGCTGCTCTAGTGAAAGGGTCTTTTTAATTCCCAGTCTGACTTTTAGCTCCCCGATTCAGAACATAATACTCAATAAATTAGTGCCTGAAATAGACTAAAAGGCTTCTGGTCAACACATCATCTCCTTGAATCCACTGCCGGCTCTGTTAGAGCCATTGTTTGCTGCTACAAGCATCTTATCTCAGCTTTCTTATCTCAAGAGGTCCAGCGCACCATGTGACCTCTGAGTGACCTATCACACAGCTGCTTAAATGAGCAGCTTAATCATTATTAAACTGTCTTGTTATTTTTTTTTTTCTTGATTCTTTTGGATGAGTAAAATTATCATTCTTCTTGCTGCCAAGAGGCAAATTACCTGAGCTAATGTGAGATATTGTCCTCCCAACGTCCTAGTGGGAGCGTGTCCTGCACATTTTTGTTCACCCTTTAAGAGCAGTCACTTCCACAAATGTACCCACAGCAGATGGGGATGTTAATTGCTCATGTTTAATAATTTGAAAGACCACATAAGCCCGCCCGCGACTTAATGATCTGCTGTGTGTGTGTGTGTGCACGTGTGTGTGTGTGCGCGCGTGTGTGTGTGCCTTGTGAATAAAAATGCTGATCCCCTCTATCCACCCCTCCTCTCTCTTCACAGAGGTCTTTGAGGAGTTGACAGTTGCCGTGCAGGAGAAAGACTCGCTGGCATCTGAGCTGCACGTGCGTCACATTGCCATCGAACAGCTCTTTAAAAATTGCGCCAAGCTGCCCTGGCTGCACATTAGCAGGGCCGGGGTCAAGGCCAGCAGCAGCAGCACTGTGGAGTGAGGTGCTGGGAGGTGGCTTTTGATTGGCTGCTGGGAGGAAACAGACGAACACTTCAGACTGCAGAATGCAGAACGTGTAACCTGGAGGACACTAGAGCAACGTTAAGGGCTGGACTGACGTGGTGTTTGTTTTCATGGTTGGAGTGATGATGCCAGGTTTAAAGATGGTTTTCTGCTCTGAATTGCAGCCGAACCGAGTTCACATGAGATGTTAGCAGCAGGTAAAAGGCAGCACAGAGGTTCCTGGGACTGGATGAGGCTGTTTTTAATGGACAAGATCACGTTTTTAATTTCAAATATGTTATTATTGTCAAAGACTAAAAAACGGTTTTAAAAATGTTCCAAACACATTTGTTATCATCGTACTTTTGTTTTAGTTTTCTGACACATTTCAGTTTTACAGTGGATTTTCCTTTCTTTTGTTTTGGATTCTGAGAGTTTGATTCTGTTTTTTGTTTGTTTGTTTTTTTGGATGATTTCAAATGAACAGTGACCGTCCCAATCATACTATAAGCCACTGCCAGCAGTTTGATTATTAATGTCATGGAAAGCCCCAACAAGTTAGCATCTACTGACAGTATTATGGGTTGAAATGTCTATTGTAAAGTTGACTACAGACTACGACCGTAACTGGCAAAGTTTCAAATAGTTATACGTGTCACTACAAGCAGTGGCAAGTACTTATATGTGTCTGCTTGCCACACTTATTCCAAATAAGACATTATGAAAAATGGCTACGGGTCATTTCTCATCTGGAAATGTGCACGATGACACCAAGAGCATCAGTTTGTAAAAGATAAATCAGAGTATCTGAAATCCTAAAAGTGAAAACTTTTGATTTAATTCAGCTTCTGGGTTTATTGGAACTATTCTTGCTGACAGGATTTGCTCACTGTATAATACAAAGCTGTGTTTTTTGTTTTTTAACCATTGTGTATGAGAGGCTATGCACTGAATGGAAGTGAACAGGCTGCCAAACCAAAGTTTCTATTTGTTCTGTTTTGTGTGTGAATTACAAACGTTTGATTTTTGAACAGCTTTTGAAACAATTCGTTCCTGTGTGTATTCAGCGTATGTGTTCTTATTTATCTTCACTGCTACGTTGGCTTGCCCTCTCATGTGTTAAAGAGCTAAGTTGATGTCATAGCAACACATATGGGATAGTCTGCTGTACTCTGTGTCTCTGCAGGTCCCTAAACAAGTCAACGAGAGATGTAGAGACAGTTTTTGATTTAGTATGTTCTTCAGGACCCTATGCAAAGAAGGAGACAAATAAATGAGAAGCCTTATAAATATGAAATATACATTGATTATAGGTGTTTCAGGGCTCACAGAGCTACTCAAAATATAATAAGCTGGGAAAGGACAAGGTTAGAGTGATGTGCGTTCTCTTTGTAAGAGATTAAATGTGTTTAGCCCATTTTGGGGTTTAAAAGACTTTATCTCCATTTTAAATTGTAGTCTTGGTTTTAGTTGGATACCTGTGTTCAGTGCTTGAGAGAGTGAATATTTAGATCCCTGGTCCTAAAGCTCAGTCCTTAAGTCTTTGGTTTTTGGGGGTTTTGTTATGTGTGTTTTGCTTGTGAATGCTGTGTTTTTGCGTGCTACAGAAACATGCCTGGGCTCGTGCCCCTGCTCAGCAGGAAACTCTAGCTGCCTGATTTTGATCTCTTGTTCTTTTTTTTGGTGGTTTTATGATCTTCTACTGTTACCATACCTGAAATACTTCCACTCTCTTTATTTAGGCTGGACTGTTGATTTGTTCTCTGATTTTGAACATCTCTGCATTTGTGGTATTTTTGTGATTTTTCTCTTTTATTTATTGTGTGCATTTTATGGATCTTACACAGATTAAGTGGTTTGTGCTTAAGTGACCATTTGTATATTTTGTTTTTGCAAAATAAAATAAAAACTATTTTTATTACATGCTAGAACATGGTATTGTTTTCTTCATTGAAGCCACTGCAGCATGGACAAAGAAAAGTTACGGCTGGGTTAATGATGGCTAGAGACCAATATATACACATAAGCTCTTAATGGCATTGGTTGAGAGATGAAGATGGATTTCCTCCGTTACTTAAAATGTAAATGATTCAGTCAAATAAGGAATGCTAACTTCTTTTTTCATTTATTTCACTAGATCATTTATTTTGAGCATATGCATACAGATTTATACAGGAAGGAAAATAGTAAATGGCCTGTATTTCTATAGCGCTTTACTAGTCCCTAACGACCCCAAAGCGCTTTACATATCCAGTCATCCACCCATTCACACACACATTCACACACTGGTGATGGCAAGCTACATAGTGTCCCGTAGTACAACAGGTGCTCAAAAAGTCGTGGGAAGAAGTAACACTTGTGTAGTCCCTTCGCTCAGTCATATGGTTGTGCAGCTGCTTCCTGAGTATATTTAATACATGGTTTAACAATAACTTGTCACATTGGAAATATCTATATTGAAAATGCATCTTGTATACAGGAATATAGGATATAAATGCATTGAGAGAACTGGAAACCATTGTTCCCACTGAACAGTGACCACAAGACATTCTAGGTGATATTGATCCAGACAGCAGCTTTTTCAATCATATCAAGACTATTTTTATTTGTTACCAGGATAAGCAACTAAATGAAATTACAAATACAGATCAGATGTTAATAAGTCATACTAATAGCAGAAATCTTTATGCCATTTTTAAAACACAATGCATCACAAAACCCACAAGAATAACTTCTTACTGTGCAACATTTTATTTTATTTTATTTTACATAACCAATTCAGTTGTCTTATTTCAAATTTTAGTGAGCTGAGCAAAAATTATAAATACTCCTGTGTGAAGCAGTCAGGGCAAATGTGGCTGTCCTGTATATATCAACATGCAGCATGGGCGTGTACACGTCTGCATGCGATGTACAGTTTGAGAATATAAAAGTGAAATGTTCATTTATTTTATTTTGTGTTATTTTATAACATTCTGGGAATCTAATTTCCATAAACAGCCATGCCACCAAAAGCACCTTTGGATTTGAAGCTGATGAATGCATAGACAACGTGAGACAAAGTGCTGGTTCCAGTCTGGGGTTCTGTAGAGGTCTAGCGCACTCAAGTGGGCGAATGGGCGTATTACGTCAAGCAATGCCGCTAAAAAGGGTTATTTCCAGGAAATGGATGCGACAATCCCTGACTCAGCGTTGTGTTAAAAAGTACATTTAAAAACAAACAAACCCCAGAACTTTAAACTTTTAAAGTCTTTAAAAATAAAAACTATCAAATTGTTATTGTTACCCATTATCACACGTTGTATCATACATAGTTGGTGTATCATAAACTGCAGCTTTTACTAACTTTAATAGCTTCCCATGGCAACCCGCAGTTAAACTATAAATTAATCTTTTGCTTCTGAGCCACACGAAGAACTACTTTCTCTTTCTTCAGTGTTAAGATGAAATTACATCAGAGGATGTAACCACAGTAATAATAAGCAACAAACACATACCTCACCATGAGTCATAACAATCACTTGAATGACTCATTATGTAAGACGGGCATACACTCGACCAATGAACGCGCTATATTGAGTTGGATGGAACCAATAAAAATTATCCGTGGGCGGGGATTGGGTTGTAAAGGGCGGAGTTAATAACAAAAACTGACGGGTTCTTCTGTTGCTTCCTCCTGTTAAGCATCCGTTTTAGTCCGCATGTCGGTGTAGACCACAAGGAGAGGTTAGTGAAATGTTTTACATATTTAGTCCATATTCGAACCTATTAATATAAGCGTTTTTAGGATACAAATATATTTTTTGTAGGATACAAATATATTTTTTGAGTTTGTAGATTTCATCGCCAAATTTATAATGCTGTTGTTAGCAGCATGACCACGTTAGCAGTGTTGCTAATGCTAACAGGTCCACAACGTTTTGAAGGAATAATACCCTTACGCTTTTATTAACAGGCTGTAATTACCAGTGGGGATATAGTTATCATAACGATAACTTAAACCTCAGCTGAAGTTAACTTAAACGCTACTTGGGCCTTATCGTGTTCCGTTTCCGTAAATAGCGCATTTAGAGCAGTAGCTCGTGTTATGGAACGAGGCAAGTGCGTGGCTAAATGGAACCTGTGCGTCTCAGCCCGCCTTTCTCTGGTTCGAACCGTTAACCGAAGGCAGCAGGGCATAAACAAAAGGATGTCCACATTTTAAACTAAAGATGTTTCCTACAACAGCAGGTGTTGCCACGTGAACACAGGCGTATTGTTGATACCGAGGGAGTTTTGGCATTGGATATACAGAATAGTTAAAACGGTCAAACCACCTAAAATAGTGCAGTGATAGACTGTAAAGTGGAATTAGTTTTTTCCAATTTGGGCATCAGAAAACATTTTGTAGGTAGGATCTACACCTGTATATCTATTTTGTTTTACATGATCTGTCACATGCCTTTCATTACAGAAGCTGTCCATACGTGATGAAACACTTGTAAAATATGAGGAGAGAGATTGCAGCTGTGGTGTTCTTTCTGAAGAGGCTTGTGAAAAAGGGGGAGAAGTTGGAAGCGGAGATGGTCGAGCTGTTTGTTGAGAGGCTGGCTGTGGCACTGCAGGAGAAGTTTAAGGGGCACTGGTATCCTGAAAACCCCAGCAAGGGACAAGCATACAGGTGGGGCTGCAAATGAGTAAAGCTCGGATTGTTCTGGTGGCACGTTTAAGCTGAAGGCAGTTTGTGTTGTGTGTGTGCTTTGAAGGTGCATCCGAGTGAACAGATTTCACAAGCAGGATCCAGAGCTCCTTCGGGCCTGTCGTGAGAGTGGTATCCAGTACAGTGACCTGGGACTTCCTCGTGAACTCACATTGTGGGCGGACCCTGGGGAGGTTTGTTGCAGGTGAGATTAAGAGTTTGTAAATCTTGTACGCTTAAATGTGCTTCGGTTGATTGCTTTCTCATTAATCTAAACCTGGTATCACTCAATAATTAAGGCAAACTGGTTTTTAACGTGAGATGACCCATTCACGTTAATCTTCCTCACATGCTTCATGCGCAGTGGTGCAAGAGGCTGTAAATACAGTTTCATTAACCCCAAGGCTTTCCTGTGATTTCAAACGAGACTACTGGCAACAAGAAAACACTATCTTTATGAAACAGCAGTTAAACATTTTGTTGAAACTTGGATATAAACTGGTGGCTTTGTTTAATTAAAAAAAAAATCTTTTACCTGCATTTATCGTTATTAGATGCTTATGAACAAAGACGGCGCTTCTTGTTTTGTAATATGCTTTCCCTAAAATCTTCTAAAGAAAACCGTTCTTAAACAAATTTCCTACTAAGTGTTTAATTAAAGGTAATAATTATTGATGTCTCTCCTAATTATTAGGTATGGTGAGCAAAATCCTTGCTTCTCGGTTGCCACTTTCTC